ACATATCGATTACTAAAGCCGTTTTGGGAGACAGCATACCTGATGAATTTCACCTCTGGTAAGCGTTAAAATTAAAATTTTTTAAAACAAATTGTCTGCTACGTATTTTAGTTTTACTGTATATTAATAAAAATATCACGATTAATAGAGTGAAATAGTGATGGCGCAAAAATTGGGCGGTCCCGTGACTAATTAAACAACAGTGATATCAATGGTTGCATTAACACAAAATATAAAAGAATATACCTAAATTTTTGTGTCAAAATCTTTTATTTAATAACAAAAGGTTGATTTCCTTTGCAAATTTATGAGTTTTTTGAGATTTCTTACTTCGCATTTGTATGTTACACGCTGATCTTACAATCGGATTTGATAAAAATCACGGGACCGCCAAATTTTTACGCCATCACTATTTCACTCATATTATACATGATAAATCTTTTAATTTTTTGAAACTTAAAGAGTTAGGCGATTATGTTTTCGAAAGAACTCGTAAATGGTTTTTTAATTGGTGAGTTTTTTACTATTAATTTTCAACAGCATAATTATTGCTTGCATCTAACCTGGTGATTCCTTTTAACAGACCTTTTGATGATGGCATTCATATTGACGCATTCCCTGAACACTTTGCCTTAGTGTCAATGTTACGAATTCCAGTTATCGAAGCAGTTTATTAACTTATAAAATGTCTATCCGCCGCACTGGATGTGTTGGTAAAAATGCCAAGATTACGTCAAAAATTATGCATATATATATAATATTTTATTTCGCATTATTAACCTATTAAATACAAAATATTTTATTAGATCAACAAATATTTGCACCATTCTTAAGACAGTCTATCTACAATGTACGAATCAAAGTTTATTGTTAATGTAGATTTAAATATTCACAGACAAGCTGCCATTTGTCACGCCGGTCAGTGCTCCTAATTCTAGGAGGTGACTAGAATTACAGTTCTGGATGGATCCTACTTGTTCGGCACTACTGTCGTTAGATGTTGAATTGGATTTATATGGTAGTTTGGGAAAAAGAGTTATGAGGTTCCAAATGGTTGCGGCAGCATTTCCTTTCATTATTGTTGTAATGACAATGAGGGCTCAACTTAGAGAGTATGATCGTGGGGGTAAGAGCTTTTAAATTTTATGTATCTTGTAATTATTTTAATTTAATGCATTTATTTTTTATAGGACCATTTTTGAGTTTTGGACATGGATTAGCACTTTTTATTCGCCAAACATTTCTTAAATTTCTTGTTATAGTGTCACTGCTATCAATTTATAAGTTTGTCACCAAAACTTCGAAAGCATATTCATTAGTAGATTTATTTCCAATGGATTATGCATCAGGAGACATGCAAAAAGCTATCAAAGCCAAAGCATCATTCAATGTCAATGTCAATGACACGCTTCTCGGAAATTAGGATCCATTTTTTTTGATTTCTTCCACCTGTATTTTTTATTATGAGTGTTGGAATAACGACTCTTTGTTGGTTTATACTAAATGGTATTGTGAGAATTTTGACGTTTTCAGTGGTTTTTATTAATCTCCGAGTAAAATGTGTGGCACACTTAGTAAACAGTTATATTGCATTAAATTTTTTTGGGGGAGGGATAACTTGCGGATTTCTAAATAAATCAAATATATTCTTTTGCAAAAGCCTTCAGAAACTAAAGCGTCTATACTGTTTCGTCGTGTATTAACAACAATAATACTGTTTATTTTAGTTGCATCCTTTGTACCATATCAATTTGCCTATATAGTTGCATTTTTTGTTCATTTCGTATCATGTGTACGGTCCTTAGTTATTGCTGGTTATGGAGTAATTTTTT